AGTTGTGCTGACTTCCCCAGTATTGGGTACTGTCTTACCCTTCACCAAAGTTACCACATATCCAGAGGAATGTTCTTAAAGCTCTGGAGAGATAGCTAAAATTGGTAGATATGGGTGGGAAAGAAATATTTAGAAAATAAGCATAAGGAAGACTCTCGGGACACATGAGTAAAAAGAGTTGTTTGAGGTCAGATCATGAACAGCCAAGACCAAGAATAATCATTGTTTTGTTAGGAAGAGAGGGAAGTTTTGGAGGAGAACGTTATTTGGCCGGATCCACGGAAGATAAACCTTCAGGACTGGACTGAAGAGAAAATGGAAGTAGGAAAATGTTAGGGTTCTCCTGAGATAGCTCCTGGGGTATCACACAGGGTCCTGGCAGAAAACAAAACAAACAAACAAAAAGTTGCCATCAAGTCAATTCTGACTCATGAAAACCCCATGTATGTCAGAGAACTGCGCTCCATAGAGTTTTTAATGGCTGATTTTTCAGAAGTAGATTGCCAGGCCTTTCTTCTGAGAAACCTCCGGGTAGACTTGAACTTCTAACCTTTTGGTTATACCACCCAGGGACTCTGGTAGAAAACAGAGAGCAGTCAAACTGGGCAATTTAAGAAAGATTAATAAAGAAAATATTTGCAAAGATGAGGACAGGGCTTAAGGGAACCCACAAAGAATAGGGCAGTAATAGTGGAGAGTCATAATCACCCCAGGCCTGCAGGGCCAGGGCAGGATCAGAGAAGCCCCCCCGGGGGAGGGGCTGCACTGAGGGGGCTGCCTGTTGGCACCAGCAAACCCACCAACCAACCTAGATAATCTGCAGAGGGCTGGATACACACCGCAGACCTCATTCTTCACACTCTCTGATCTTTTGCCAATGCCTCCCACTGGCCTAACCCAGTTGGAAGCTGGAGCAGAGAGTAGAGTGGAGAGAGGATCTGGAGAAGTAGACAGAAGAGATACAGCCTAGGGGATGATGGGAAGGTCATGGCAGTGGGAATGGAAAGGGCACAATACAGAGACAAATTTAACTGGACGTTTAGACCAACTGGATTTGGCCACGGGAAATAAAAGTCAAAGATGACTTCATAGTTTCAAGCCCAAGTTATTAGACAAGAATAATGAACACATCAACTGAGCCCGTTTTTACTAAGCATTGTATTCTCCAAAGGAATCCCTAGGTGGTACAGATGGTTAACATGCAGGCTACTAACCAAAAGGTTAAAGGTTTGAATCCACCCAGAGGCATCTCAGAAGGAAGGCCTGGCAATCTACTTTTGAAAAATCAGCCATTGAAAACCCGACAGAACACAGTTCTACTCTGAGACACATGGGGTGACCATGAGTCAGAATCAACTCCACAGCAACTGTTTTGTTGTTGTTGTTGTTTGGTTGGTTGGTGTAAAGCTGTATCTCTAAGAACCATCTACACGAAAGTAGCAACTGAAACCACGTGAGTGAATGAAATGGCAGAGAGAGCAGGGATGGAGAGAAAAGAAGTGAGGTCTGAGAAGCAAACTTGGAATTCATCTTCATTTATGAGACAAGAGGAAGAGAAACCAACAAACGGAAAAGACAACACGTACAACTATTGGCCATATTGTTGAAACATATTTGCATGTATTTGCATATCTCTGGTAGGCTTTTTTTCTTTCCCTTAATACTGCACAGGTTTGCCTAACTTAAGGATGATACAAGTGCAAGCTGGATCCCATCACTTACCCACATGCCTCAGCACGATTTTTTCTTTTAAGCCCCAAATCCAATCTTACTACTTTTGTCCACTTTGAATCTAACACAGCCAACATTTGTTGTCGTTAGGCGCCGTCGGGTCGATTTCAACTCACAGCAACCCCATATGACAGAGTAGAACTGCCCCATAAGGTTTTTTAGGCTATAACCTTTCCAGGAGCAGATCATTAGGTCTTTTCTCCTGCAGAGCTGGTGAGTTCAAACCTCCAACCTTTCGGTTAGCAGCCCAGCGCTTAACCACTGCACCTCTAGGGCTCCACAGGTAACATTAATAACTTCTTTAATTTAGGAAAGCCTGTAATTCTTATTCTTTCAATTAATCATGTATTGACTACCTATTGTGTATTCAGCACGATGCTCAGCAAAACCAAAAATTAAACCCGTTGCCATCGAGTCAATTGCAACTCATAACAACCTTATAGGACAGAGTGGAACTGCCCCATAGGGTTTCCAAGGACTGGCTGGTGGATTCGAACTGCTGACCTTTTCTGATAGCAGCCAAACTCTTAACCACTGTGCCACCCAAAGTGGTAATAAAATTCAGCCTCCAGGCATCAAGGAAATAAAAATCCAGTTGGACTATAAGAAACAATTGACTCTAAAACAATTAGAGAATAATTCAGAGCTGACCTGCATGATCCAGACCACCTTTCATCCAGTGAGAATTCATACCATTCAACACCTGTCACTCTGCTCTTTTTTCCTGATCCAGAAGATTGACAGAGGAGCTAAATCCTACATAGCTGCACATCCTATCAAAGGCCCAATCACACTGTATACTACCCCTGTCTTCTCCAGTGTTTCATACGGTTTCAGTGATCTTTGTATGGAGTGACTGGCACATAGCAGCCATTTGACTAAATACATATTGAGTGAATGAATGAATCGGCAGCCAAGTCAAGCCCAGAGCAGTCATATCAATAACCTTAACTCTCACCTGTGGTAAACTGCAAAAGCTCTAAGGTTCAAGGCAGCCCCTAATGTGGCCTTTGACCTAAGCTTGGTCCCATGGAAGTAAAGACTTAGTGCAGAGAGAAAACAAGCAAAGCCTCAACTTCTTTAATTTAGATAAGAGGAAAAAAGGACAGCCTGGTACAATGCCTGACACATAAATTGTGCTCAGTAAATGTTTGATGAATGAAGGAAGGAAGGAAAGCTGAGGATAGATAGTGAGCTCAAGAAAAGGGCAAACTCAGGGCCCATGTGTGGTGGGTGGGCTGTATCTAGTGCCCCTCTAGCTGAAACTCAACGGAGTCTATTTCCTAACCACTTCTATGTTAATTTCTACTGCTTAATTCTCCAGCATAAGCCTCCCTTCAGCCTCCAAACCCCAGTTAAAGAAAAATAAAACCTTTAGGTCACACAATCAGCAGTGCCTCCCAAACTTGGATGTACATACTAACCATCTAGAGATCTTGTTCAAATGAAAATTCTGATCCAGTCCATCTGGGATGAGGCCTGAGAGTCTGCATTTCTAACTAGCTCCTAGGTGATGCTATGCTTCTAATTAACCCTTTGCGTATCGAGAGAAATGTATGTAAAGATACCTCCTGCTCCCACATTTCCTAGGTATATAACTTTAGACAAGTTATTTCACCTCTCCGAGTCCTCCTTTTTCATCAGTGGAACGTGGTTAATGACAGTAATAGCTAGCATCTATCGAATGCTTCGCATGTACCAGGAACTAATGTTAACAACCCTGAGGTAACCTCATTTTGCAGATGAGGAGGGCTTAGAAACACCATGCTTAGTGGAGAGTCAGTGAAAAAGGAGACCCTCAAAGAGATGGATTGACACAGTTGCTGCAATAGGCTCAAACATACCTTCTATCCTGAGGATGGCACAGGACGAGGCAACGTTTCGTTATTATGCATGGGGTCACTATGAGTCAGAACCTACTCAACAGCACCCATCAACAGGGCTTGAAGAGGTTAAACTGCCTGTCTAAGACATGTACAATAAGCAGTAAACGGTAAACTCAGATCCGATCCTAGGTGGTTTGACTCCAAGAACCTGGTGCTTAACCACTATATAACACTGCCTCTTCAACTTACCTCCCAGAGCCATTATGAAGATTAAGTAATAATTAGTATTAGGCTGACATTCATTGGGCACACCTATGTTCCAGGTCCTAGTCTAAGCCTCCCTTGGGGCATATTAGCTCATTTAGCTTTATAACAGTCCTAGGAGGTAGGTACTACTATTATTTCCATCTTACAGGTTTTAAAATAGTCCCAGACAAGGTAAACAGCCGGAGGTCAAACTGCTCCTAAGTGGCAAAGGCCAGGCGTCTAACTGCAAAGCCTGTTGCTCTTTAACTACAATCCTGGAGGGGATGAGGCCCAGGAGCTCTGAAGTACCAGCCATCTGCTCGCTCTCAAACCGAACCAAGCCTTCTTCCGCACTTAGCTCTACGTTTATCTGTGAAATGCGTCCACACTTAGAACCCGGTGAGCAGGTTAGGGCCCAAGAACAGCTGGGTGGCTACAAATCTTTACAAGGTATTTAACCTGAGCTTGAAAAACGGCCGCTACGAGACCCCCTATATCTGCCGCCCCAGTAAT